GTGCTTGTGGAAGGACAGTGACCACATCCCTCACTGCCGGCTTCCCTCAGCTTCTGGCCACCTCCTTCAGTCTCTCTCACCTCCTGATAGAGGCTGGGACTGTGTCACTAGTCCTGGGAGTTTTTGCCAGTGCTTTGAAACGTAAGTTCCCGTTGACTTGAGTTGGTTGGTTTAAGTTTCCATGGCTTATAGACAAGAACCCGGATTGCTGTAATTGTTCAAACCCGCGATGCTTCCTCCTCTCTAATGTGAAGTCTGAACCTCGGTCCAGCCACAGCTCTATGGACCCTGTGTGTGTTGTCCTGCAGTCTTTGCATGGCACGGGACACAGGGCAGGCGCTCAGGAAGTACTACGGGGTGACCGTTGCGGGGCTGCTGGCCTTGTGCAGTGGAAGATGGGGTAATAAGGTGGGAGCCACTGGGTCTTCCAGCAGATTGAAATCAGACTTGTGCCCTCTTGCGAGATTGAATAGGCCCGTCCTCCATGTACCGGTGACCCTGTCCTCAGAAGAAAGGGGTGCCCGGCCGTTTCATCTGCCACAGGTTTCTCCTTAGCCTTTCCCACTGAAGAACCAATGAAACAACCGAGTGTTCTGCCCTGGCTTGGAGTCCTTGATGGGTTCTGATTACAACCTTTGCATCGGTTGCATCAGTGGCGGTGAACCTTTTACAGACGAGTGCCCAAACCCAGTTTATTTCACAAAGTGCCAACACTGCAATTAAACCTGAATACTGAGGTTTTAGTTTAGAAAAAACAGCTCACACATTGACACCTTTGGTCTTAGAAAAACAAATACCGTGTGCCAGAGGTTCACCACTGTTGCTCTTAGCCATCCACCCTAAGGAGGCAGACATTCCTGTGCTACAGAGATTGCAAAAAAGAAGAGAACTAACTGACTTACTTTTATTTGAAGCACATTGATTGTGTTTTATAAATCTCTCTTCTCCCACTGTAAACGATTATTGGTGACCTGTGACAGTGGGCGTTGGGGTCCCCTTTGGATGCTGGAGTTTACTAACAGGCTGCAGCTTCTCCCCACTGACTGGTGAAGACCTCAGTAATAGAAAGTGCAAAAATGCTAAGTCTTCTCTCTTCCCACTGCACTTGTCCTATGAGTGTTTGTTACCCTGGTTTCAGGGCAGCCATGTGGAAAGAGCAGAGAGCTGAGCCATTCATTGAGCAAATAGGTATCGGGCCCTGCTATAGACTGCTCTCCTTCTGGCTGTGTATACCAACGAGGGAGGAACCTGGCTGTCCAGGAGCTGGCCTTCTGCTGGATGGACAGCCAGTGAACAAAGTGACACAAAAATACTGGGTGGCCCTGTGCTGGGAAGATAAAGTAGGATGGAGAGTACGTGTGGGCTGGGGCCACTGCTCTAGACTGAGGTGACGGAAGGAAGCTGGACATCTGAGACCTGAATGGCAAGGAGGGCCTGCTGTGTGACGATGACAGGAAGAGCCATGGAGACAGGAGCCCAGCATGGCTGGGGAAAGGCCAGTGTTGAACATTAGAGCCAGAGGGAAAGGAAAGGTTAGAGCCAACAAGTGGAGTTTATCATACAAGGGAAGTGACGTAAGAGCCAAGAGAAGTCTTGATTTTGCAGTTTGAATGTATATGGCTGTGAACATTCCCATTTCTGTATCAGTGTTGTGACTTTGGGATTCAGGGGTTATAAGAATCACATGGGAGAAAACCAACCTTGTAAAATCTGTGTGTCATGTCCGGCTTTGAAGTCTGAGACTCCCTTGGCCAGGCCAGGCCAGCAGTAGTTGTAGGAAAACAGTATCTAGTGTTAGATTCTTAAGTCAGATTCGCCTTGGAACTAATCACGCATACAATGAGTCCAGGAAGCGGCGGCCTCCTTCATCCTTTAATGTAATAACCGCTCCTGCGGGTTACAAGAGTTTATCAACAGATGGAGCATCTGGTTGTAAAGTTAAGTGGACGGGGAAGAAAGCTGTTATGGACAGTGTTTCAGATTTCCTTGGGCTTTTGGGTGTCTGTACCCCAGAGACCTGAGGGGTTACCAGCGTCAAACGAGCCAGCACCCTTGCCCGCAGTGTGTTTGTGATGCCCCACCAGCGCACAGCTGCTTTCTCTTCCTGGGGTGGTCTGCAGCTCTGCTGCGGTCTTTGGCAAGATCTCTGCAGCACAATTGAAAACAGATGCCCTTGCTGCCCTTTCCCTCGCTTCCCAAGTTACTACCATTGGGTGGTGTGAGCCATTCCGGTTCCAAGCTTGCCCGCCCAGCAGGCTTGGACCTCCAGAAAGTGGGGTCCCTGTAGTCTGCATGGCACATGCTACTCAGAGCAGAGCCCCGGATCTAAGGTTTATGGGAAGCATCTCCCCGCTCGGTTCCTACTGTGGAACCTTTAATCCTAGAGTCGCAAATAACCCCGAAGGAAGATAAAAGCATGCCCTCCATAATGGACGAATTGACTGTCATACAGAACGTGATGTTGAGACTGCTGTACATCCTGGATTAAAAGAGACCCAGTGGACAAAACAATGAAATATGACATGCGAACTCTGTTTGGATTGTAGTGTAAATCAACTGAAATTTAAACTGGGTGAGAACCAGGAATATTTAAGTGTGCTCTGGATTCCTCACTTTCTTATATTATTTATTATCCCTCATTACTATAAGAAATCAATGGTAGTTGAGTCAGCTGTGATAATGGCACAGTGTGTATGGATCAAAGTACCCTTATTTTACAGAGACACACAAAGGTGTCAGGAGGAGATATGTAAGTCACTCCTAAGTGATCAGAAGATGCTGCAGCAAAACATCAACTGGAGCAAATATGGAAAATGTTCAGAATTGTTCATCAAAGAGATGGGCTTATATCGATGTCCAGTGTTTCTGCACCTCCTGGTCTGAAATGTTTTCTTCTGCACGGTTGGATGTGATGTTTGCCCCCCAGAGCATGGCCGTGACTTAGCCCAGCCGCGTTGCTTCCTGAGTGTGGAAGGAGCCGATTCATCACTCCCGGGGAGCAGGCAGGCGCTTTCTGGGTCCACAGGCTTTGCAGCAAGAATGAAGCCATCCTCCGCCCTCCTCCACCCTCCACGCTGTCTGTGATTGTGGGAAGTGAAGCAGTTCCAAAGCAAAGCCAGAACATGCGGAACCCTGCAGCTGGCATTTAAAATATTTTGCTTCAAGTGCAAGTTTTAGAAAATAATACTGTTTGACTGCAGTTACCGAAGTCATTTTCTCTCCTTTCGAATATATCTTGTGCACCCCAGGTGAGGACCTGCCTCAGATGCACCCCGGGTGCCCTGGTCCCTCTGTGTGTTTGTACACTGCCCGTGCCAGGATCCAGGACTGGCAGAACTCTGTTCCCTTGGGATGTTTTGATGCCCAGGCCCTAAAATAAATCATATTCCTATTTCAATGAAAACAATTCACATGACCTGGCTACCAAGGGAACAAAACATGTTGTATGTGCTTCTCTCCACCTACAGTTAGCTCATAATTTCTTTCTCTTTTTATTACTCTTATTTTTCATTCACACTTAGTGTCAGCAGTTGCAGATTTAATAGTAAAAGAAATTCTCCTGTCCCCTTTCCCCAGCTGGGAAATAATGGAGCCTCATTTGTTTCTTTTAAACATTGTCCAAATGGGCATATTTTTTATCTTGAGCTGTGGTTAAAAATAAAGCCCCACTGTGTCATTGTCACCTGGGAACAGCCATCGAACTCCTGTCTCATAAGGCGCTGGAGGTGCTGCAGGCAAGGCTGTGATGGCGGTGGGTGCTTCCCATCAACTCCAGAGATTTGAGAAGTAACTTCTGTGGTGAGATTTGACAAGCACCAAATGCGTGTCATGGACTGCAAGTGTGGGGTGAATCCACACCCCAGACGCCGACTCCAGTGGAGGCCCTCATGGCTTCATGGAGGACATAAAATGGAATTTGAGTCCTCAGAAAAAGGTGACACTTCGACAGACCAAAAGGGCCCAAAGCCATTTCCCCATGGGATTCCTGAGAAAATCGTTCCAGAAGCAAGGAGTTCTAGGGCACCACAGGCTGGGCCTGGAGACCAAGGTCCTGGGGAGAGATTTGAGCGTGGCTGTTTCAGGAGTTCCATCTGGCAGTGTTGACCAGAAGGGAGGTTGCAGGTAGGAGCCACCAACTGACACAGAGATGTCCGTTAGCAGGTCACCATAAGTCATCCGTAGGAAAGAGGATACAAGTATGAATTTGGATGGGATAGAAGGAAGGGATTCTTACAAGATGCTCTGGAAAGGAGCAGTTAGATTCGGTGCTGAAGTATGTCTTCCTTGCAATAGAAGAGTAAAGGTCATGTAACCGTGCAACATTTCACTGATGCAAGGAAATTTATATCTTCTAGGACTCATTTTAGAACCTTTGAAAGAAAACTTGTAATTCAGTAAAAATTTGTAGGAAACTGTGCCATATCCTTACTTCACTAAGCTCTTACGTGGTTGTCAAGAACGGTGGTTCAGTTTGGGCCACTTTTACAAAGACAACGTATGGGGCTGGGTGGCTCTAACCGCAGCACATTCTTTTTCCAGGCTCCGGAGGCTGACAGCCTAAATATCAGTCCTTTGACTGAGGAACAGTTGGTAAAATTTATTTCCCATTCTGTGGATTGTGTCTTCACTCTGTTGGTGGTTTCTTTTAATATGATGAGATCTCAGATGTTAATCCCATTTTAGTTAATTTTGAAAAGTTAAAAATTTTTAAATTTAATTTTAAAGTCTTCTCTTACTGGATTTCTTATTTTTTCAAACTGTAATAATGCTGCAGCGTATGAGAGGGCATTTAAATAGGTAATCATGTAAATAGATACACATGTGAACATATATAAGGCAGTGACGGTGAACCTTTTAGAGCTTTCAGTGGTAACAAACAGCCCACCACAGCACGCCTATCACAGGTTCACCACCACTGGTCTAACGTGTGGGGAAGAAGGCGGGTGTGGCCCCGAGGGTCCTTCCCGTGTCCTTCTGCTGAGCTCCCTCTCTCCCCCCAGTGACCGTCTTCAAGCTGTACCAGCGGGCCAAGCATGTGTACAGTGAGGCCGCCCGGGTGCTACAGTTCAGGAAAGTCTGCGAGGACAGCCCAGAGGATGCAGTGGCACAGCTGGGGGAGCTGATGAACCAGAGCCACCGCAGCTGCCGGGACCTGTACGAGTGCAGCTGCCCTGAGCTGGACCAGCTGGTGGACACCTGCCGGTGAGCAGTGCCTGGGTGGGGCGGGGGCCTTGGGGTCACCACGGAGCACTCTAGACACAAGCCAGAAAGACCAGCCCTTTCCTCGTCTCCTTTCTTTTGCCTTAAAACATTTTTAAATTTTACTTTTACAATTTTCATGACTGCATGTTTGTGGTACACAGTGACAACACTTGTCTTCGGGAGTTGGTTCATGCACAGAACACAGCTTAGTTCTTGTTGTTGTTTTTGCCCTTCCTCTGTGAGGACCTCCCTTGTATCATGCTGGTCTTGTTCTCTGCTTCTCAGCTGTAGGATGGGAGAATCCCAGCCCTGCTCTGTTCCATCATGAGGTGCCCAGTCTGGGTGTCACTGTGGCGCCAGGCTGCCCCTGTACTCCCTATGTAGCCCAGCCCGGCCTTGAACTTGCTGCCGTCCTCCTGAGTGCTGGGATTACAGCCTGTGCCACCACGCACCTCAGGAGTCAGTTCTTTACAGCCCTGTAGGAGAGACTTTCCCACGTGGGTGAGAGGCCTTTCAGTAAGGCAGCTTTTCTCAGGCCCTGCCATTCTCTGCTCATGACATTTTAATGACCAGGCTGCGGCCGTGCCAGCTGTCCTAGTAGTTTTGGGCCTGACAGGATGAGGGTCACTGCAGGAGACTCAGAAGCAGGCACATTCTACCTTCCAGGGTTGGTTGAGGCAATCTGGGGGCAAAGGGGACTGAACAAAGTACAGTGGATAGATGGTCTATTGAGACAGACATATAAAGTGTGCTCACAAAACCCGGAAAGAGCTTCCTTGCAGCTGTGACAGAATGGCGACAACAGAGTGATTCCCTCACCTCAGAGGCATGACGCGGACCTCAGGAGCACTGAGAGGGAAATCAGGGTAGCGCTGAAGCAGGCAGAAGCTGGTGCAGAACTGCCAGCTGTTAGCAGCGGGGAGCAGGGATGTCGCCTGTGGCCGGCCAGGTGGGAAGCTGCGGCGCCCAGCCCGTCTGGGGACTTGAACCGCGCTGAGGAGAGACTGAAGACGTCGTGTGCTCCCTGGTTGCCAAAAGCCTGTCCCAGGAGGGCAGCCACACATGCTCTTTGTGGTGGGGGAGGTGGGGGAGCCTTGAAGATAGCTCAAGTGTCAGCCTCAAGCGCGCCCAACCGAGACCGGGAGGGTGGAAGTGCACAGAGGGCACCGGAAGTGGCTGGGCCGCAGCGGGCACCGGGCTGCTCTGTGGGGAGTGAGGGCAAGAGAGGTGTCAGCAATGGAGGAGGTGGAGGCCACGGGAGCCTTCCACAGGGCCCTTGAAGGCCGGGGAGGACTCTGACTTTCAGAAGGGAAGGGGCTGCACCAAGTGAGTCAGTGCCAAGGTGCCTCGAAGGGAGATTCCAGACAATGGCTGTGTGGGAGAAAGAGGACTCAAGAACACTCCTGGGACTTTGGCCTCATAAACTTGGTTTTTCTGGAAGCCACATCTTTGGCAGCCATTCTTCCAGATTCTGGGCCTGAAGCATCCTCCTGCGTCAGGCGATCTTAGAGCGGGGGAAGGGGCGAAGGACTCCCACAAGTTCCCAGGATGAGTCTGTGGGAAGCTGGCACCAGCCCAGCCCTCGCTGCTCCTGCCCCTTCTCCCAGCCTGTACCGCGATGTGGCCACACTCAAGAGCCAGCTGTCCCTCCTGGCCTTGAGGCTTCACATTGGGAGGCCTCAGCAGTCATGGTCTCCAGCACTTCAAAACTGAGCAGATCTCTGGCTGGGCAGGACTGTGGACACAGTGGGTGCACAGACCCTGTTGGAGTTGGGGCGTTGAACCCGCTCTTCTTTATTTTTAAATTCTCTTTGGGGAAAGTCCTTTCTTGACGACAGCTAAAGTGTTTCTGACTAGAAAAACTAAACTGTTTCACCTGCGGTATTAATTGTCAGAAAAAAACCCAGTCATGTCCACTGTAAGATGCTCCATCCCCCTTTCCATGGTGGTTTTGTTTGGAAAGCCAGTTGCTGAGTATCGCAGTGAATTTCTACTTAACCCATAGCCAGAGAGCAGAATTTCCTGTATTGAAAGATTCTCTTCTAGCAAGTTACAAGTGTTGGCCAGAATAGTTCCCTGGTCCTTATGCTTCATATATAATTCATGTTTCCTTTGCTGTCCCTGTGGCTGGAAGATAACACCTTGCAGTGTTCTGGTTGGTTGGCATTGGGAAAGCCCATGTGACAGAGACCAGGCTCAGGACAGCAGCTGGGAGGGAGCAGAGGAGCCATGGTTGCCCTTCCTCCCTGTGTGGTTCTCAAATGGACAGTCATACACCGTGTGAAACTGAAGTCTACTCTCCGCTGTCATAAGCAGTGCCTCTGTCTTTTATGTGGATGTTTGCAAAGTGATAAGGCAAGAAGGATGGGTTCAGAAGGCTGTGAAAGATTGTGGGGATAAAACAAACCCAGGGTGGCTAAAATCTGCAAAGACAGATGGTGGAGCGTGAGAAAGGCGTGGAGCACAATGGAGACCCCTTCACACCCTGTTCCTTCTGAAGCCCTGTGAGCATCTCTTGGCAGGCGGAGGAGTTGCTGGGTGTGCCGGGCAGGGCCCTGCCTGGCCGGATGTGTACCACTGGTGCTGGGAACTGAAGCACTGGTGTGGTGATGCTTTGTTCAAGAACAACACCACCTCAGACTTGCCTCTCATGCCGAGAGATGTGAAAATGAGGCTGGGCAGCCCGAGCAGGTTGGTTGTCCTGGGACACAACAGATAGAGGACAGTGACATGGGCTCAAAGAGGAGCTCGTCCCAAGGCAGTCTTGCTTCCCTTCCACACTGGCATCTTGAGCCTCCTGTTGGCTCTGAAGGCCTCTTGGAACCTGTTTGGCTGGAAAGGCATCTCTGTGAGTGAGTGGATGAAGGGTGTGAAAGCCTGGAATAGCCGACAGTAGAGACAAGTGCAGTGCTTCCCTGGATTGCGCAAGACAGCACAGAAAGCTGACAAGAGCAGAAGAGAAGAGGTGGCTCCTGCTTGCTGGTCACTTGTAGCCAAGCCATCTCCTACTCTATAAGCAAAAATCTGTTTAGAATCTCAAGCAAGGACCAGGAAGCAAGAAGGAAACGACACTTTCCTAGTTGGGCTGCTTTTTAAAAAAATTCATGTTAGAATTTTATGTGAAACAAAATAATGAAGGAAAAACTGATGTTTGCCCAATTATAAAGTCTCTTTCAAGTGAACAAAAGGTAAGTTTAAAGAAAAGACTAAATTTCAAAGATTTACTGAGGAACATAGAAAATTTTGAAACCAAGTCAATTAGATGTGAGACAACTCATTTATTACTGGTTCCCTGAAATTTACTTAAGTAAAAATAGTTAGTGCCTTTTATTTCTGTTTTGACAGTTGTTGAAATCAGAGAAGATTCATTGCTGTACTATTGCCCAAGCTATTAAGGAGGACAAATAACAATTTTAAGTGGACCAGCTACAGTTACAAAAGTTATTTTGCTGCGTCTTCCTCAGAGGTCTTCTCTTGGTTTTGCTCTTTGGGCCTGTTCTCCTGATCAGGTTGCAGGCGAGGATAAGCATAAGTCCGCAGCGGTGCTCTTATCTGTGGCCAAAAGTGCCGTTCTGCTTCCCTGCTGAGACGGATGGAGCCATTCGGCTCCACAGGCTCGCTTCTCTGTGGGTCCCACTTGCTGAGGTTCGCTGAGTGCAGGTGCCTTTGGTGGCTTCCTCTCCGAGAGCACGCCTGTCAGCGCGTGTTCTTACTCTTTCTCGTTTGAACAGTATTTGAAAATCCCAAGCAGTCTGAATGTGTTATATCTCTCCTGGCTGTGAAAGCCCTGGGAATGTTTTCCTGAGATTCTAACCAGTTTCCAGAGAACAGAGCTGGAAGTCTTTCCAGGTAAAGAATGGATTCCCAACTGCTTCTGTGCATACATAATGGATATGTGTACATTTTAAGACAAACATAATCGTCCAGCACCCATTTGTTAGAACCAGATGCCGGGAATTGTGCGGAGCTGGGGTTAGAGAGATAGATATGACCTATCCCCAAATTCAGAACTTCCTAAAGCAGTTTAATATCCATTCCTGTAATAAGTGAATAGTCATGTATTTTGCAATTGCAATTGTACTGAAATGCAAGGCACAATTCCTCACCTCCCTCTTCCTGGTTTGTCAAACCGTTGGGTCTTTCTGGGTCTCCTTCCTCCCCTCTCCATTACCCTGCATCTCTTGCAGCTCTGAGAGAGCTTTACTGACAGATGGATTCATTTAAGAGTAGGACGTTTTAGACAGGCTCTCAGTGCCTGGACAGTTAATTCCATGAATATGCATTTTGGTGACAAAGGACCAAAGGGAGCTCCTCATGCTTTTCATTCTCCATCTGCCTGGCAGCATAAGGCAGAGGCTGCATTTGTCCCTGTGACACATCCTTGGACATCAGCCCAGCGCAGGCAGGACAATCGAGAACACGGGGTTTGGGGGCGTTTAGGGCTGTTTTTTGGTGCAGGAAGTGTATTTCTAACATTTTCGTGTTCTCTTAGAAAAACATTTTGAGTGTGGAAAGTTTAGCACCCACCCTGAGTCACCTACCTTACTTTCCTGACTCAGGCTGGTCTGAGCCGCCCACCTTTGTGCCTCTTGGGAGTTTCTGTGACCTAGGCCCGAAGGGCTTCTGTCCCGGTGTGTGAGGCTGTTCACCACCCCGGGGCAGCTGTGGGTTTGGGCTGTTCCTAACAGCTGCATGTGGGGAACTGGAGCTCTGAGGAGTTTGGACCGTGTGGTCGATGCATCCAGTCCATTTTCCTTTGCAGCAGGCAGGGTGGGGACAGAGCAGGTCTGGGGGTTGGAGTGGATTCACTTACCTGGAAAGACTTGTAGGGAAACTGATTATAGGCTCTCCGGAAAATTGGCCTTTCCTTTCCTCTCCGGAAAATAGGCTGGCTTCCTATGGGCACTGCAGCCAGACTAGAAGGAGTGCCCTCCATTTGCTATAGGTTCAGTTTTGAAACCACAGCCTTAAAAAATTGTTCAAATGACAAGTATAAGGCAGCTTGACTAGTCCACCGAGGAGCTTCAAAAGCTCGGCAAACGGGGTTCAACAAAATGGCACAGATGGGGTCACGGGGCCCCTTGTCCTTCTCCAGACCAAGCCACAGTTGCCCTTGATGCCCAGATTTTAGGGCCTCTTAGAGATGTTTCAGGGACACCTCAGTTTCTGCATGAATTATCCACCAAAGGAGGTAGTTTTTGATGGGACTACATAGAACAACATTTTTTTTCCCCAATCAACAAACTTGGCCTGTAATCCCAGCACCCAGGAGGCTGAGGCAGGAGGATGGCCACAAGTTCTAGGCCAGCCCCAAACTATGTGAGACTCTGTCTCAAAAAAACACAACACAAAACAAAGAACTTAAAAAAACCAAGCTTAAACTCTGCGGAGCTAAGAATGCATAATGATTCCAGAATCTCAAGGTCGGAACTTTTCAGTCTGGATGACAGGAGTTTAGGCTCAGTCCAGCTGTTAAGCTAGATGTCTGAGGGACAGGAAGAGATTAGGAATCTTTCTTTCCTTGTAAGAATTTCTTCTTTAAGCATCTGTTTTCTGTGAGTGGCATATTTTAACAAATAGGGCAGTTGATGAAAAGAAAGTATTAAGAATTTCACTGAGGGTAACAGATAAGGTCCTAGAGCAGAGGTAATGTTCTGTTGATATTTCCCAGGAAGTAAAATAGCTCATTTTGGTGGAAAAAAGGAACAAAATGATACTAAATTAATTATGCAATTTTAAATCTGCTGCTAACTTGGGGTAAGTTTTATTAGGAGGGGTTAGTTGGAAATGTATATTAATTCCAGTTATTGAGGCAAATCGCATCCCTTAAAGAGCACAGTCCATGCGGTCCAAGCATGTTGTTACATGGGGCCTTTCCCTTGGCTTCAGCTCTTTTTTTTTTTTGCAGCTGTGCATGGGTGACGACGGTGACTAAAATGATCTCCCATGGGGTTGCTGGCACAGCCATTTCCATGCCATTTGGATGCCTCTCCTTGTGGCAACAGAGTCCAGTTGTCAGTCAGCTGGAGAAGGTGCAGGAAAGATTTGCAGAATTTCCCCTGGAGAGCGATCCTGCCCACTTACCTAGAGCTTAATAACAAGTTCTGTGCTGATGTGGTTACTCAGAGCAAACCTAGGCTCCCAGTTCTGCTGTGCTCAAGATGGAACCCGCAACCTCTCACACCACCTTGGGCTCCACCCTGAGGTCTGGTTCCTCTGGGGGACACAGAAGCCTTCAGGTGCACCTGAAGCAGCCCCTGAAGGAAGCCCCGTGTGTACCCGACAGCGCACAAGTGACTGTGACCCTGACTCCCTGATGCTAGCCGTGCCCAAGGCCCACCTTCCTTTCACTCCTCTTTTTGGCTTCCTGCAGGCTGGCACCCAAGTCTTCCAGGGGCCACACTGCAGACTCAGGACACCTGACCGTTAGGACTGCAGACTAGCAGAACTTGGACTAGCGTTAGGCACACGAATAAGTTCAGAATTACCTTCTGAAATAGCAGCGTCTGTTAACGCCTTAAACTGTCTGACAGTGCCGCGAAACCTCATGCCCTCTCAACTAGGACAGGCTGTGTGTTCTCTAAGCATCAGATAATAGCTCTCACTGTTGTCTGTGCTAATCTGTTCCTCTCCCTTCGCAGGAGGTCCGGGGCGCAGGGCTCAAGGCTCACTGGTGCAGGCTGGGGCGGCTGCACGGTGTCACTGGTACCAGAGGACGCGCTGCCCGGCTTCCTGGCCCGCGTCCACGAAGCCTACTACCAGGGGAGTGGGCACGGCGCAGCCCCGGGGCAGCACAGCCTGTTCGCCACCAAACCTGGAGGCGGAGCTCTGGTTTTCCTTGAGGCCTAAACAATGTCAAAACTCTGAGAAACTATTTAGGGCATTTAGGAACTGGCAGGACTTCCTATGCCACAGTAAATTAATCCTCTCTCTGTTTTATATTATGATGATCAGTTGCTATTATCAAGATGCATTTCCAAAAATGGTTGAAAGCCCTCTATGCTTTACAATGATTATTTTTTCCACCTTAAAATGTTTCATTAACCCATATGAGCCAAAGTTAGTGTTGGGCAGATGATTGACTCAGATTTATTAATTTGGGATTTTAAGGTGAATGGTAAAACACACTAATACACAGATTTGACTTGAATTAAACATGCTGCTACAATTAAAAGGATACAACCAAGTCACGCGTGTTTTTCTTGAATGGAGCTCACTTCTGGTTTCCCTTTGCATTCTGTTCTTCCTTCTCTAGCTTGTGATCCTCTGTGGTTGCTGCTGCTGCTGCTGTTACAAATTCTCTGTGCATTTGAGCCTCAGCATGCTGTGAAAATAATGCAGGGTTAAGGATTCACAGGTTTCCTGAGCCTTCAAATACTTAAACATGAGATTCCCCAATTATCAAGATGGTAAGGCCCACCACGAAAGGACAGCTTTAGGAAAGAAATTCAAGGCTCATTCAAAGCCTTTGAAAAGCCTTAAAAAGACCATTTTCCATTCTTTTGGTTCTATCACTTAGGAGAGGAATCAGGAATTAATGAGATGACAGTTCAGGAAATTCAATTTGTTGATAGGACTTACTTTCTCCCCACTCTACCCTACCCTTCTCCACACATCTCTGAAATCCGAGAGGCTTCCTGTGGTGCCTCACAATCCCTTTTTGAGTATTTGCACCAGTGTAAGGCCCATGTGCAGTTGTGCAGGTGAAGTGGACCCTGCTTGGTGTTGGTGGGCACCCCGGCCAGTCTGGCTAGCGTGGGCAGAGCCTGGCTGCGTGGCGATGGTGAATGAATGGCTTTCTCTTGTGGACAAGCTACAAGAAGCCCTTCCTCAGTTACACACTGATTCAGGCCAAGAAGCGTTGGCATTTAGCTGAAATACCCAGGCAATAGAGCAGTGGTTTTGTGACTTGAATTACACAGAAGATTATTACAGTTTTCTGTTTAATGTGTAACTCAAAGACTGGGTCTCATCCTCTGAATCTGTTTCAGAGAGGCCTAGGCCAAGGCGAAGGTGGTTGTAATTATTTCCTAAGGAACAACAGTCGTGCTGGGAAGCTGAAAGTCTAACCTCAACCAGCTTCGGGTGCATTTTCATTCTTCGCACAAAGGCAGACACCTGAGACACTGTAAAGCAAACTTGTTGAAAGTATTTAAGGTCATCAAGCCCATTAATTCCAGACCTGACTTTTTAACATTTGTAATCATTTTTTTTAATACTTTGTCATTTTCCACAAAGGATTTGTAGTTGGCATATAGTTCTTTCCACATCACTGTAAAATGGCACTTGTTGCTTTGTTTTCATTTGTACTTCATTTCATGTTTTTCATCGCCTGATTCCTTTTTCACACATTTAGCAATTTTTAAATGTTTGCAAGCACGTGTCTGTAATCCTAGTGACTTGGGAGGCTGATGCAGGAGGCTTGCGCGTTCAGAGACGGCCTAGGTACTGGAAATACAAAGGGCAAAGGGCTGGCCCTTGCCCAGCATGTGCGGGGTCCTGGATTCCACCCCCAGTAATTCAAAGCTGGGGCTGTGCTCTGTTTATTTTGATTTCTGACTTGAGCTGTATGTTGGTTTTTTTTGGTACTGGGGATCGGACTCGGGACCTTGAAAAGAGCTATGTTTTAACCTCACCATTACTATGAAAGGCCAGGGCCAGTGGAGAAAAGCTTCCTGCGGAAAGCGCAGCTGGAGCGGAGCCCTGCAGGGTGAGTGGGTCTGCTGGTCTGCTGGTCTGCAGTGAAGACCGACTCTGATGGGCCCTCTGCCTGCCTGCGGGTGTGCTTATTCGGTGCGGCCTGCAGTGCGTATACAGCGCTCGGGTCTCAGGTCCTCCGCAGACTGTGTGACGACACTGTGGCCTGCTGTCCTGCAGTGCAGCCCTGAGCGGGGGCCGATGTGGCCTCCCAGCAGGTGCCTGGGACTCACGAGCGCGCACACTATCAAGCACCCTTCCATTCAGTATGTGTGTGTGTCCGGGAACGGCAGAGCAAGAACAACAGGAGAAAGTACTTTTTTGTGGCAGTGAAGAGTAGTCTGTTCAACAGAAAACTCCCAAGTGGTTCATTGGTTTTCTGTCACTTAGTGGCCCACATGGCCTGATTTTGACCTGCACCAGCCATCAGAGGGACGGCTTTGTTTCTGACAGCAGGCTGTGCACTGCCCGGTGGAAGGCAAGAGGCCTAGAGACTGAAGAGGACCACCAGGAAGCCAGGAGGCCGAGGAGAAGCACAGGAGTCACCACTCTTTCCTCTCCTTGCCCTGCGTCCTGCATGGGACCTCTCCACATTCTGCCTGTTCTTCTTCACTGGGTCGGGACTATTTCTCCCACCCGGCTGTCCGCCCTGACTCACCTCTGCTGAGTTATTGGTGAGAAGTAAAACACAACTGCAGACACCTGTAATTTTCTACTCATTCGCATCTCAGACTGAACATGTGAGGTTGATAGTTGTATAAATTGTCCCCGGCCAGAAGCAAAGATGGAGAAAGTGATCATGAAGTTGTCACTAAAGATGTGAAGCAGAGATTGTCTTAAATGTGTAGGCGGTAACTTGGGCAAGAACGTGTGTTTCTGATGAAATACTGTTGGGCCTGTCTGAAAAGCCAGCGAGAGAATTCTCAATTACTTTCAGGAAGGAAACATACCAGTTTATGCAGGAACTTCTCAAAGTCATTCTCAACTCCGAAAGGTTTCTTGGTGGCCTTTTCCTGGAGTCTAACCATGGAATAAAGAAAATCGGCAATCAAAGTCGTCCTTGTACCACTGAGTAACCCATGTTTATGAAGAGTTTAACATGCTGTGTATTTGGCAAGCAAAGTACATGTATTAATTTAGAGACCCTCACAATAGCCTTGGGTGTGGGGACTACTTTTACCCTACTTGATCAGCCAGGAGCAGGCTTGGTCATTCACGCAGCTGCAAGCGGGAGAGGAGAACCCAGGCCCTAGGACTGGGTTCCGCCCACTGTGTGGCTCTCACCTCGGCAATGTGGCACCCTCTTTGGCTACATGGTCCACACAGCGAGCATCAGCTCAACAGATTCCACCCCCTGGGCTCTGGTGTGGATCCCAAGGAGCAGTGGTGGGAGGAGGAGAGGAAGACTCCAGCAAGGGGAAGACACGGGAGAAAGAGGACGGGGAGGAGGCTGATTTAGGGCGAGGGTGCTTGCTAGGCTGACTGCATAAAGGCTAGGGGTCTGGGAATCATCTGGTTCCTGTACAAGTCTTCATTCAAGAAATGTTTAGGAAGGAGATGAATCCAGGGGCAGCCGGAACCTTTCCAGAGATCTCAGGATGAGGGGCAGGTGGTAGACCAGGCAAGGCAGCGAAGAGCTCAGGGAAAGGATACGTTGGTGAGAGAAACAGGGGTGAGAGAAAGAGAGGTTAAAGAGGGCATCATGCAATGCTGTTGATTTCATTGTAATCTTTCCAGGAAACAGGGCTCCCCCTTCAGTGATGGCTTTTTGGAGATGTAGGTCACGCCTGCCCTTCTCATGTGTACACTGAGGTTTCAGGGTGTCCATGAAGCTTTGCAGTATTGTCACAATCATCCCCCGCTTCCTCTGTGTGAGTCTTTTTGGAAGAGGCCAGACGGAGCTAAACTGTGGGCCTAGGGCCTGTCGTTTCACAGCCCCAGGATTTACATGTTCCCTGAGCATTTACCCCTCATGCCGGCCCGCAGAGTGCCCTTCTGTGCAACGTCTGTCTGCACGCTACCTGGAGCCCCAGAGAACTCCCTGCAGCGTGCTGTACAAACTCCGTGGTGGGGAACCCTGACCCAGGTGGACTCGATATTGGAAACTTCTAGAAGTCACCTGGCACCAGACCTCGTGATGTGACGTAGGGGTGAGGAAGGACACAGCCCCGTGATGAGGCTTTTGGTACAGGCTGAGGTAAGATTCGGCAGTGTGGCTGGGCCTTCCTCCCAAGCCAGGGAGTGAGAGACGTGACGCGTGGCGTCTCGCACGGTGCCAGAGCTGTGGGGTGTGGCAGTGCGGCTGGCCAGGCCCTGTCCCCAAGGCGCCGTCTGAGCGCTGTGCCTATCTGATGCCTGCTCCCCACATGTGGAAGTGGGGGAGGAAGTGGGGGAAGAAGTCGGGGAGGAAGTGGGTTCTTCTCAGCGCTCCACAGTTTTTCTTTTTAATAGTCCAATTTATAAAATAGGACAAATGTGTGGAGTGTCGGGGAGATGGCCAAAGGGAGGCTGGCAAAGCGGGTTGTTTTTCCAGTTTACATCTTTCCTGGGCAGGGCATGGTTATGGGTTTACTTTTCAAAGCTTCAGCCCCATGGCAGGAGGAGTAAAATTAGGTGATGATAATGTTTAGCATCTTATTAAACAAGTAGGGTAGGTGATGTTTTGGATTAAAAAATGTAAGGTGTAATCCAGGTGAACTGTTAATAGAAATCCTCTCTGCAGATAGTCCAGCTGATACACTTTTACGTAAGAAACCCAGCGTGATTTTGCGTAACACATTGGTCTGATTAACAGTGTTTTTAAGCACTACTAAATCAAATAAACAAACCTATGAACCTCCTTGTTAAGTCGTTCCTGTTGCTGTCTTAAGAATTTTATTTCTTCATTAATTCTTTGTGTTTCTCTAGAAAGTCAAAATTTGGAGTTAGATTTTAAAAGAGAGCCAGTGATTCTAGTGGCGGATCGGGGGGACAAGACAACTTACATGACAGTAAAAGTTCCTTACAAACCAGTCGCTTCCCTCCCCAGCTCCCTGTGGTGCAGAATCTGGTTAGACACTCAGCGCCCAGGACCCGGGCACAGCTGGGCTCTGCCTTGCTGCGTCTGTGGGGCTCTAGCAGCCTCTGCCCCTGTGCAGAGCCGGGGCTGTGGAGCCGGGGCCTCGGGTGTGCACGGGCAGGGTGCATGCGTGTGTTGGTGACACGGGGTCCCTGAACTGCTGGGTGTGTCTGGCTGGCTGTCCCTCATCCATCTCTTTGCTGTGCTCCCGAAGCTGAGGATGCCTGGCCCGCTCCCTACAAGCCAACCAAACCTCCAGGCCGTTATCTGGATACCAGGGGCAGAAGAGTTGGATTCTGCCAGGTCTTTTTTCTTGTAAAAATGCATGGACATTCTCTCGTAGCCCATCCCTAACTTTCTGGTACATAACAACCCCATGATTGGGCCCAAGTGTTTGAATGAAGCATGAAAAATGGAAAATGTCCTTCAGGATGCGTTTCAGAAATGACCTCTCTGCCCTGCTCTCTGACACCACCCCAGGTCCGCTCCAGCGCAGGGGCCCCTACCATGGAACCCACCTGCTCTTCTTCTGGGGCTCGGCTCTGTGACTCTGTGTCTGCTGCCCGAGCCCGGCCTCCCGATGCTGGGGTGCATACACCTCAGCCACAGCGAGGCTCCTCTCGGAGGCCCCCAACACGTACCTGGTCTGTGGTCCCAGGGTGCATCCTTGACACTTACAGAACAAAACCTCTGGTCTCTGAGACTTTAGTGAACAAGGAACTAAGTGGAGATGACGCTGGGACTTACATCTGAAAATCCCTCTGGTTGCTTGCGAACTGTCGTTTTGCCTCCTTTATAACATCACAGTAAGTGGGACCAGGCGCTGTGTGGGCTTCCGGTTAAGGAGAGAATCCAGCGATGAACATCAGGGGGGCCGCGGAGACCGTGAGGCCTGAGCGTCTCAAGTGTGAACGCAGTGTGGGTCTGGGGTCGCACAGAGGGAGACGTCTGCGCCCTGCATTTAACACCTTTGTCAGTCGTGCAATTACCTTGTGTTTTCACATGCGTGCGTGTTTTTAAAGCAGTTCTAACACAGGCTGTGGGAACAGTCACTTGAAGGCAGGAAATTCAGTGCCACACTCCCCCTCAGTGACTGTTCCTGTCTGACCCTAACCCGCAGTGCTGTGAAGATTCTGTCTCAGGACATGAGTTGCCGTCAGAAGCGCATGGGAAGCAGGACTCGGCCCCCACACGAAGCCCCCACCCCGACAGGGCTCTCTGGGATGACTTCGCTGGAGTAAGTGTCCCTACGAACCTCACCTTTTCCTTGATGGCGTCAAATCTGAGTGGAATTGTTTCAAAAAAATGTGTTTCAAAACATTCTTAGGCCGAATCTGGGTTACTGCAAAATTTTGGCTTTGAGATTTCGTTCTGCAAATTAACATTTTTGCTATTCAAATGAATGCTCAACATTAAGAATGCAGTAGTAATTGAGTCTAAAAAGAAAGTAGTGGAAACTTACTTTGAGAAATTAAAGCAGAAACTAAATTTTACAGTATTTACTCATTTTGAAGAGTATTTCAGCACAATTTAAAAATAAAATTGTATAACTATTATAGAAGCACTAATGTAATCAAAGGAGAAATCTCCCTTAATTCCACTCTCCAAAAAAAGGCTGTTTCTATTTTTCTATGTATCTCTCCGTCTGTCACATTTTACACAATTGTTATATCATACAATGTCTTGGTATCGTTACATCATAATTTCTTCATGCATTAGGTTCTGTAGTAATTATTTTAATGCTTGTGAAAGACTCCACTGAGCGCATGTGCCTGAGGTGCTCTGTGGTCCTGATGACATAGCCTGCTGTAAACTTCGCTGCATTTCTTGTGTGAAATCACTCACTTCTCCTCTTCCCCAACTCTGTGTGCCAATATGACATTCATCCCTACTGCCTTGAGCCTAGCAAGGTTGGCCTGCATCTTTCCTGTCTGCAGTGCTAATAACTTTTGGAGAGAGCAAGCCTTGGTCTTGTTCGGTTTGGAAACACTGACGCACACAGTAGTACAGGAGCAAGGATCTTCTTTATGCCATAAGCAGGAGTCCTACAATCCCAGTTATGCCAAATATCTGTCTTTAGTTTTATTCCCTTATCCTAGTTACTTCCTAATAGGTGAGACACAATACCTGACACCCACAATTAAAAGGAGGAGAGGTGTTTGTTCATGTTTCAGTCCATGGTCAGCTGGATCCAAAGAAGAAACATCATTGCAGATGGGCATGGTGGAAGAAAAGCTGCTCACCTCACGGAGAGCAGGAAACAGGGAGAGAAACTCCTCCGGGCCACACCCCCAGTGAGATACCTCTTTGAACCAGACCCTAACTCCCAATGGCAAGTCAGCTATATGGCCCCATGATCCAGTCACCTTCCAAAGACACGAAGCTTCGGGGGCCATTTTAGGCCTACACTATAAATGCCCTTCTTCGCTGGCACAGATGGTGCAGGAGTCTGGTTTGTCCTAAATGAAAGATGGCTGATGTTACTTTCAGTGTTTGTTTTTACCCTCCTCTACTGTATCAAGTGACCGAGAGTCTAAGACTTTTGAGTTTATGAAAACTGAATATCATTCTTCTAGAATAATTAGTACAACTAATGATACTTTTCCTGGTATAGATGGTTCTTGAGTTGCTTACATTTTATTTGCATGCAGTTACTTCCTGAAATTATTTTAATTTACCCCTCAGACTATTAGGATTTCCAAGATTTTATCCCCTACAGAGTTATGCTGTGTTCTGCAGGATGGTTTCTACAATGAAGCATTTCTGGGGAAGATGATATATTTGTTGTCTTGAAAAATTATACTTTCAAAAAAAATTTTTTTTTGGTGGTATTGAAATGAACAGTCATGTTTTACTTGTAAATTATTGATTCTGAATATATGGCTTTGTTAGAATGAATTAGGTATATGTGCATTATAAAGTCTTTGTAACTATTTACAGCCTTTTGTCCCGTTGTACATTTCTGCTGAGTAATGAGGCTCCAGGCTGCATTATGCTGGAGTTGATGACGAACTCAGTGTTTTCTTGTACTACTCAATGATGATGGTTTTCAGTAGATGTTTGCTAATGACTATCTCAATTTGTATTCTCTCCAGATTATCCAAAGCCATCATTTCCCCCAATGATAGAAAATTAGAGTACTTAAAACTTAGAAATTATGACTAGTGACTATTCCATTCTTCGGAGATAATGGTGGCACCAAGCTTTCCGATTCCCCGTCGGAAGTGGCCTCACATTTCACTTCCCATTCATGACTACAGGGGAAGCTGCATGACAAGCCACTGCACAGGAAGGAGCCACATGGGGACAGGCAGGATGGCCCTGCAGACCAAGACCTGAGGCATCCTTGAAGCCTCTGGAATTGCCGATCTACTTCTAGACTCAGACTGTCAGGGTAACAAGGGTTCTTAGAAACTGAGGTGCAACCGCACTGTGTCACAGAGGAGGCCATCTGTCTTTGAGAGCCTGGGTGCCTCTGAGGAGCAGGAGAATTGCCCAGGGGGAACGTTATTTTATCTGCCAAAGTGCTGTCCTAGAAAGAGGCTCCAGGAGGCTTTGCTGTCTGTCACATCTTTCAGGGACACCCCTTGGCGGGTCCTCAGAGTCGCTTCTGAGAATCCCATGTTTAAGGCTGCAGTGCCCATTGTACGCAGCACGTCCCACTGCACACCAAGTAGAAAGAAGCCAGGCAGCAAGCTGCAGCCAGAATCTCCTCCTTTAGACACCAGAATGCATTCAGTCCTTACTTATAAGAAATACATTCTTGAAATCACTCTTTAGCATGTGGCCCAAACTGATCTTAGAGCTATTATCTTCTGTTTAGTGTTTCTCTTTGCTTACACTTCACGTATTTCAGTATTGCACTAGTAAGGTTAAACCACAAATTGAAAAAGAAAGAAAAAGAAAATCACTGAGAACATGTGCCTGTTCTACCCAAGGCGGTATCACTGTTGGCGTTTCACCCAGATTCTATACGACCTGGTATTACATGTGAAATAGGGTTACTGTTTTAGTAAACATTCTGAATGACTCTGTCACTGGCGCAGCTGTATAACATAATCTAGAAAATTGAGGGACCAGCGTAACTGGAAGTCTTCATGCATACTGAGTTCAAGACAGCCAGCAAACTTGCAGGACCTTTACTAAGCACCGAGACACAGGGCTGGTGAGGGTTCCAAAGGAAGTAAACTAACAACAGGCAGTTTTGGTGTAGGGGACAGGACTATGAGGATGGGCATGAAGACCATGAAAGGTCCACAGTATGCTCATTTGGGCAGGGCCATCTCCCAGGGAGCGAGGGGAGCTCAGTGTCCTGAGCATAGGACAGATCGTGGACCCTGGCTCTTGCCTGCTGTGGAACAGCTCATTGCCTCAGGCGCTCCCGTGGCTGGCATGGAATACCGCGTGACAGGACACGTCAGTGTGGGCTGTTCTTCACCTCCTGGACAAGTACTCTCGCTGACGTCTCCATGAGGCTGAGTCACGGATTTCAGCTGACTGACTCCCAAAGTTAATTACTTGCTGCTATGTGGCTTAAGAAGTCGGGGAAGTATGATAGCCTTTAAAGAAAATTTCCACTCAGATGGTTAACAGAAGGAATTTTAGTGCTTCAAATGGTCAGCCTTTGTTTTCTAGAAAATTTGATTATGGGCAACAGCTCACTCCCCGATGACTCTGGATAAACCAGTTGTTGATTTATGAAGATTCCAGCGTTGTTACAGTTTATGGCCCTCACTAGACACAGTTCTAAGGGTTGTCTGCCCTGTCCATTATTCCCATTAACCCTCTCCTCCCCGCTAAAACTAGTCCAAATGACCATTGAGTTCGAATTAGCTTTGCAAATGTTTGTTTGAGGTAAGCTTCCCGGCGCTCTGCTCCTAACGGGATCCATCTGTATCATCACAGAGATACAGGGACTCTGCGGTTCCTGCTTCCCTGAGATCTACAGGGTACGAGTGTTAGTCACAAAGCAGAGAATGGGCCCATGGAGGCCACCATGGGCGGGCGAATGTGGCTTTTCCTTGAATAAGCAGCACTTTGGGTCTCAGCGAAGTCGTAGCTTTTCCTGTCTGACATCGTGGGGCAGCTCACAGACTCCCTGGAACCAGAGCAGGGGGAGAATGCAGTCACGGGGTAGCTGCTGTTTCCTTTTCTCTCTGCCTGCCCACTTCATGAGAGGAGAAATGGGTTGGTGGAACACAGAACTATTATGTAGTCAGTTTTTCACGTTTCTTTGGGATTTTTATTTTCCATCACGAATTCTAAGAATTTAGAAAGCTTTGGCTTTTCCACTGATTTCATTGACCAATAACATTTATAGCAACAATACCCTTTCCCCCAACATTTGAAGACATTTAACTACTGAAAATGAAGTTTTCTTATTTGAAAACAAAAATGGGCTTCACTACATTTCTACTGAACTTTTAAAAAATAACTGAAATGATTACTGACATTCCGGGATGAAAACCCCTTCCATTCCCATCCTTATTTTTCCACTGAGCTATGTGTAAAATCTAACATTCAAAGTGTAGCTAAAAAATTGATGCAATCCAGTCCCTAGAATTTAATTGCCTATTTATTTCACTAGTGTAATTACAAGTTGGTGAATTGTGGTCTGTGTCTTGTATATTTTATTAAAAAGAAAAGGAAAGAAAAATCTTAAATAGAGCTTAATCTGAGTCTGTAACAGAAAGGTACCAGATTTTAACCACAATTTTGTAACTGTCTCTGGCTCAGGGTGGCTTCAAAACACAGTACACTCACACACGCTCACGTGTCAAACAAAACCCCTTTGTTCAAGTTCTAAAAAGATTTTCATTTTCGTC